CTACCGCCGCCGCCCGAGAAATCCGTGCCCACGCCGACTCCGTCCTTGCGTTGGCGTGCGCAGCAAGTCCGCTCCGCCCCTCTTAAATAGCAGCCGCGCCCCACGCCATTTTCCCTATCTCGCCGTAGCCAGCCGTCCCGCCTAGAAGCTAGCAGCAGCGCCACCGTACACCGCCGGGACTCCACCACCGCCACGCGTCGACTCTGTGCCTTCTCTGCCGCCGGGATCCCTCTAGGTGAGGTCGCCTTGCTCTGCTCTTTCACCCTGTGCCTTTCCCATGGCCGTAGGCGTTTCCCCGTGCGCACCGGCGAGCTTCACGACGGCAGTAATGGCTTCCACCGCCCCAGCTCTACTGTTCCGACCAAATCTTTCCCCACTCCCTCCCTCTGTCTAATCCAGGCCGACCAGTGAAGATCCAACGGCCTCAATCGGAGGATACCCCTTCGCGTAGCCATCTTACTAAAGAGCCCTTCGGTTTTCAGTTATTTGCACCCGCGGTCCATTACGTATTTGATAGATTACACCTTCTTCTTTTAAAAGCGTATTTTGTTCGGTTGACTTCAAAAATACGTTTTCACTTATTTACAGTTTTGCCACTATTTTCTTTAGGCCATAACTTCTCCGTTTTAACTCCGATTTGATCCGTTCAAATTGCGTTAGGTTCATATTTACGTTGTCTACGTGTTCATATTACTGTTAAGGATGTTTTCAACTTTTAAAATTTGAGGTTAGATCTAATCTGTCATTTAATAAAGGAAATCTTGTTTAATTCATATCTTCTGCGTTTTAACTCCGTTTTAGCCCATTCAAGTTGCGTTAGATTCATAGCGACGAGATCTGCGCGTTAGTAACAGTGGTTACCATGTCACTATTTTTGGAATTTCATGCTTTAAACTCTAATTTGAATAATAATTATGCAACTGGATTTTATAGATAAAATATGATTTGTTTTACTTGAGTTTTATAATTCGAATCTAAATTTGATTTAATTCAATTTATATAAGTTTTTATATAGTTAAAATAAATGAAGCCTATTGTTTTCTTTTCCATGTATAAAGCAGATCTATCGGTAGATGTATCTTTTTTACCGAAGCTCCGATTAGCGTGCCTCTCACGTCTGTGTGTTCGTAGTGATGCGTAGAATCGTATTTCAAACTCTTTTACTTATTTTTCTATGATTGGTGTACTGTTCTAATTTAGATCTATTGTTTGCTTCATGTATGATTGTATGGATGCTTGTGTGGTGCTTTATGATTACGTCCAGTCGGTGAGATATACATGGTGAATCAAGAAGCAGATCTTTGAAGTTTTGGACTTGAAGAAGGATCAGTGTTTTAAGGCAAGTATAGCATGGGACCATTCTTGTTACATATTCACCTTTAATCATTTAATTCATATTGCATGTGTCTACCTTGACTGCCACTAAAGATTTTCTAGTACTTTGTTACCCTGTACCTTGATACCTTTGGGTTATTGCATTGGGTAGTATGATGCTAGTGATCCACTACAACCATGATCTTGTAAATTGACTAATGGTATATGCAATAAACACTAAAAATGTTTTTTAGCAACATGGAACAAGGGGGCTAGAGCATTGGGCTGTTTTTATGGTGCTCTAGATTCCTCTCCATAAAGACTTATCTGTAAGTGATCATCCGGGACTTACAGTATAGCTGTGAGGGCTACATGGCTCTGGCTTTAGCTCAGTATGAGAACCTTTTCTAGCTTATTAGAGGTTACCTTTATTGGCGTAAGAATGGCTTGCCGAATCGGGTATAGGACAGCCTCTGTCCCCTTGTGTATTGGCTACGTGTCATTGTGCATCGGGAAGGGGGGTTCCTACATCTGTTTGCCGAGTGAATCTAATAGCCCTAACTTGCTAGACGAACCTTTGAAAGGCTTCATAGTGAACCCTGCCGACCTTCCTTGGAAGTGGGTCAAGAGATTAGCTACCTCGGGCGAAAGGGTAAATCACGACTCACAGTGAAAGTGTACAACCTCTGCAGAGTGTAAAACTGGTATATCAGTCGTGCTCACGGTCACGAGCGGCCTTGGAACATTTACGGAATAGATGATCACTAATGGTTAATGATGATGAACACTAATGATATGGATGATGAAGATGCTCACTAATTATTACTGTTTATGCTATTCATTATTCATGTTTAGCTGATCATGTGTTTATGGGCTTATCATAACTTTGTTGTCATCCAATTGCTAAAAGATGACTCATTAAAAGCTAATCGCAGTTAAACCAGTGTCAGCCTTTTGAGCCTCATGAACCCCATGTTATATTTGTTGAGTACGACATGTGCTTACGGTTGCTTTACTTTTTAAATCTTTAGAAAAATCCCGGATGGGTATCAGATTGCTAGAGTTTGGAGGAATTAGGCTTGTGATCAACCAGTCAGTTGTCCCTACGGATTTGGAGTCTTCACCCGAAGATCGGAGTTGTCTTTCCGCTGTTTGCTATCTAAAGTTATATTCTTTATACTAATACATTATGTATTGAAGCATTATCTTATGATATTACTCTTATTTCTAGATATATGTGAGATTTGACTTCCTGGTCTCACATATGGTGTGTATCTGGTTTTGTTCTTAAAGCCGGGTGCTACAATAGCCCGGGCCGCGCCCCTCCAACCGCCGAGGCCCTGTCGTGGCCACCCGCCGGGGCCGTTCCCCTCTGCCCGTGCCCGTGCTTGCCCTGGCCACAAGCCACGAGCCCTCCAACGTCGCCCGCCGAGGCCCTGCCGTGGCCACCCGCCGGGGCCACACCCCTCCATCCGCACCCGTCCTTGCCCTGGCCATGAGCCGCGAGCCCGCCGGTGTCGCCCGACGGACCGTGCCCCTCCGCCCGCGTCCGTGCTTGCCCTGTCCACGAGCCGCGAGCCCGTCGGGGCCGCGCCCCTCGGCTGGCTGGGACCCTACCGTGGCCACCTGCCGGGGCAGGCCCCTTAGCCGCTGGGGCCCTGCCATGGCCGCACGCAGATGCCGCGCCCCTCCGCCCTGCGCCTGGCCATGGGCACGCCCAGCCGCAAGTTCTGCCTTCTGCTCTCCAGGTGTGTTCATCAAATTGCCGGTGGCACTGCAAAGTTATGCATGAAAGCATTAGTAAGTGGTACTGGCACCGATTCAAAAGGACATTTCTACTATTGTCGAAGGAGAAGGCACAAATCAAGATGGAAGAAGTGAGGCAGATTATTTTAGAAACCGTTGCCTCCTCCATCCTGGTACGGAAGATGTGACATGCTGCAACGGATCGAGGTGGACTACCACTACAAGAAGGAGATCGACGAGTTGCTTTGCTTTGTCTACGAAGATGAGGATGGAGGCTCTGGCAATCTCTACATCACCTCGCTGAGGTTCTATTTGCTCAGGAAGCATGGGTATATATGGAGCGTGGTGTCTCATCGATTTTAATATTCTTGTTTGAGATAGGGATTACAGAAGGAGTTCTAGTGCAATCCGTTGTAGTCTAGCTGGTTAGGATACTCGGTTCTCACCCGAGACCCGGGTTCTTGTCCTGGCAACGGATTTTTTTTTTTCTTTTTGCACTGACAGAAAACGAATGCATTCAGAGACTACGTCACCAGCACTGTAATCGTTCTCCTATGAACACCTTTTCCGCGATTATTGGATTAAACATCATATCACCTTCTAAAATTGTGTCACTACTTCAATCAAAGTTATGCTCTTATTCTCAGCTTCTAAAATTATGTCACTGCAGACTGCTTCAATCAAAGTTGGCTCTTATTTAAACTAGCAGACCATGCTCTACTTACACACGTTCTATATTATTACTTAACACTCATCAAGCACACGTTCTATATTGATAGATACTTCTGCTAGACTGGTAGCCTTGTGTAAAAGGCTTCTGAAAGTCAGTTTTTGGTTTCCGCGACACCAAAAACACAGCATTGGACTTCTGCGTCTTAGTGGAGCATCATGGACCTTGCCAGGTTAGTATCAGCTAACCCTACCAAAATCAGAAACAAGGATTACTAATTAGAACAAGCAAAACTATTTTAGATTAACATAGAATAGATGGCGATCCTCTGATATGGCATAGGGATCAGCATTTAGCAATAAGGGTGTGTCCAACGGCAATCCAAATCGCTAGCGAGGAGCATATTATATTCAAAACTGATGAAAGATAACGACGAAAAAAGGAAAACGCTAGCAAGAGTTCAAGAGACCAGATCGCAGCCTCGGACGATATCCAACCACTTCTGTGTCACTGCTCTCCCGTCCTTCTAGATTACTGTTGTGTGTACTGGATTTTTTTCTTTTTTTACCTTCTCTTTCCTCCCTCTGAACCAGCGATTTGATAAAGGCCTCTGGAGACACCCAAAGAAAGTGGCTTCTGGGGGTTTCAATTCAATGTAAGGTTCTGATGTCATGTCCAGTAGGGACGTACGGTTTAGTTTTAAAACTCTCAAATATGTACTGCACTGCTATATTATAGAATAAAAAAATCATGATACTCTACTTTGCTCAATAGTAACACCAGTGTATAATTTTTTTCTCTACCTAATATTTTAACATTCTCAACCACTGCGGCACTGCAGCAGCATCTTCGAGAACGTATACCGGCAAGTTCGTTTCTCAGAAGAACACCGTTGACTATCTTATAGCTTAATAGCTTATTGATTACAAGGAGGTTTCAATAGTGCATGCCTGCCTTGCTATGTGATATATGGTTAGTATCATGTTCATGGAGACAAGGGCATGGGTAGTTCATATATAACTAAGGAGATCATAAGCCATAGTGACCATCTTCAGATCAAAGTGTAACCATAGAGGACTCTCTATAGATGATTCGGTAGTATTTGGTGGATACACGATCTCAAACGCCGGCTACCGTCGTGTCCGCCACCGCCGTCGCCCTTAGGCACGGTCTGATTCAGTTATCATGTTCGAGTTCTCTTCCTCTCACTCAACAGTACATGAAAGAGTCGCCTGGACTGCCTTCCGTTCTGGGCCACGCAGGGTCCTCTCTACTTAGCCCACTCCGGCCCAGCTAGTCTAACGTTCGCCTTCGTCTGTCTTGGAGGCCCAGCACGCCTTCCCGCCTGAATGTTCCCATGTTCAGTTTCTTCAGTCATCGGCTCCCCTTCTTCAGCAACAGCGTCTTCAGTATTTTCCGGCGCCATCTCCGCAGCTTGGTCTTCAGTGGTGACACAAAGTCACAGTGGCAATAAAATTCAAGATGTTGACTATTCATAGAAATTTGGTTTAAGTAACAACTCAACACAATAGCATAGTAATAGGGTGCACATACCATCTATATACTGGGCTCGCTCTCCTGGACTTAGAACATGCACCTCATGTTTTTGACCAGTAGGTTGTTCCTCTTCTTCTCATCTTCTGACTCACTAAGCCATCCATAGCAGGGTCGCCTTGGGCCAGTCCTTCTAGCTGCATTAAGTGGCAATACAGCTTCACGAGCAGGTGGTTCAATGAACATAGGATCTTCCACTTCCTCATCTGCTGACTTAGTCTCTGCTGGTACCTACAAATGTACAAAACTGATTGAATTGAGCCCACTGGCAATTTCACAACATGCATATGCATCATCAAATAGATAATCCTCTTAATGAAGCACGTGCCATTGCACGCTTTCGAAAAAAATCATCAAATAGATAACATAAAGCATAGTCATAATATCATATATTATGACTCAGAGTTTCTGCTTAGAGAAAAATGCCATATTATGGCATGACGGTTTGTTTACCATTCTTTTTTAGTTTTCTGCATTCTACCAGTGTTGAAATTTATATCATCCTATTTGAGAATTCCACAACATGCATAAGCATTTGTCGATTGGATGACAACAGAAACTATAATCATAAATTAAATTAATGAATAATGACCCAAAGGATTTTAGTTAGAGGAAACAACAGACTGACAGTTGGTTAACTTTCAGTTTGCTGCATTGTGTCAGTATCAACTTTGGCATCATCATTGGAGTGTAAGGGACTTAATGGCCCTGAAAACATAGTAATACCGAAAGTCATAGTGATATCCAAGATAGATTATTGTACAAACACAAAACTTTTCATTTACACTGGTTCACGTTGCATACTTAGGCATTCGAATGTTCATGGACACATACAGAGGTAAGATTGTTGGCTTGAAACAAAAATTAATACCAACTCGAAGTTATTTGGTGGTGAAATCAGTTCTTTCAGAACTACCCACCAACCATATTGATACAATGATGATTTTGCGCACTTGAAAAGAGATAAAGAACAGAATAGTTTGTCAAACAAAATGTGGCACAATCACAGTTAGATATAAAACATCAGAGAAGAAGCCTTGCAGTGGAGAATAGGTGAAGCAGGATATGCTTTCAGCAATTAGGAGTGTGTGCAAGATGTTAGTATATTTTACTTAATGGCTCAGTTTGTTTTGTCATTCAGCCACAGTATGGCATCTTTTTTTTCTCTCCTGGATTAAGCTACCAACCCTTTAAGTCTGCACATATGCAATGGTTATATGAACAACTTCTTTTTAACATGGAAATACACAGGTGTCATTTGAGGTGTTATGGTGGCGGCTAGGGTTGAGAGGGAGATAGGGGGCCGGCCACGCAAGAGAGAAGGATTTTCCGTCTAATTCCTGCATGCTTATTCTCATGGTAGCTAATGGTATAAATAGTCGTTAGGCAGCCCAATCACCCCTAAATTCTCTCTCAATCACTCTTGCCAAGCTTCTAAATTTGCACCTGCTAATGGTGCGTCCAGGATTGTCCTCAGTTTGGTGCCAACCTAGCCACTTTCCTGATTTATTGTGCTTGCCTTCTTTGCTATATGGGTGAATCTCTTGCCCCACATGACAACATACGCCTATAACACTACATCCCTCCTGGACAAGTAGCTTGTCCTCGAGCTGCAACCAAACCAGCTCATAACAATAACTCGACTCGACACAAACTTAACACTTAAAAACAAGCATTTTACATCTCAGACTGAAATAGATTTGGACTCTATTTCTTGGCCTCCTCAATGGAAGGTGGACACCGTCTAAACACAATAATTGCACATGCATAACCACCTGGATCCCATGGAGCAGTCCGCACATGGGCTGATGTCTTGAAGAAACAAGAACACAACAGCCCACGCAGCTTGGCCACCACATCCAGCCCAAGCCACGAACCATCTTGCCGAGGAAAATGGAGCTCTGCTTGTCTGCGCCTCAGCATGAGTATCACCCAGAAAGCAACAATGTGGTCGTGCCGCAACAGCGACCAGAAGAGCCAACCCCACGGTAGTCGATGGCGAAATGCGGCGGTGCTACGCGGTGCGTGCCGACCCATGACCCATGTCTTCTCCCCGCCTGATACCTGCTGGTCCATGCCACATAGGGAAGAGAGGAGGGCTTCCAATGGAGAATGGCAAGGATCCCCAGCCGCCTCCACCGTAGACTCAGGTTTGCTGCCCACGTGGGAAACAGCATGCCCGCCGCCCGTGGGGGGAACCGCATGCCCCAGATCCCCGATGCGGTGAAAGGGTCTAGGGCTGAATCAGCTACAGATCGCGCATCTCCCTCGTCCACCCTGCTCTAGGACCACTCAGCACCCACCTGGCCACTTCCTACACCCACCTTTCACGCCACGCCCATCCCTCGCCCTAAGAACCACTGCATCTGATAGACTGCTACCCCTAGGAACCTCGTCACCGCAAAGTTTTAAATAGCGGGCTAAGCCCCTTAGCGGTTGCCCCTCCCAAAAGCTAAGAAAGGCTATAGCGGGCTAAATAGCGGGCTAAGCTATTTAGCGGCTGAGCAAAAAATATGTCAAATATCAGGTAATTTTACACATAATAAATATAGAAGATGAAGACATTACAAATACCAATTACCAAGTAACTAGGGACATATAGTTTTGTTTAGATGAATAAAATTCAAGGAATGAACAACGATGCAAAATATATTCATGTAGGTGAGTTGTGGAAGTAGAATTATTTTTATTACCTTTTCAAATACTGACCAATTCCTCTCACAACCAGAGGATCTACATGTCAAACTTAGAATCTTTATCGCCTACAGCCTCAAATTAGGTGTAGTTGTGCCATGATTCAGCCACCATGTTGCTGCATGAACAAGCAAAGAGTTAAACTCTTGTGATAGCAAAAAGGATTATATTGGATAATTCATCAATCACATTAGTTTCACAATTTTCACCTGGGTTGAAGTCCTTATTTCTCCTCTGCCTTGTGGCAATGTCATGTCCAAATGACCCTTGTTGTTCCTTATATTTGCTGAGGTCAAGCTTACTGCAGCAACCTAGAACAGATCTGATACTCTACTTGCTTGATGGGATATATGCCAATTTATTTACAGTAAACTGTAAATCAATCAACAGCAGCAGTACAGAAAATCCTAAGCCAATGTATTTACAGTAAAAAGTAAACTTAATATCCTATCAACAGCAGCAGTAGCACGCTTAATGCACCAGCCTAGAACAGATCTGATACTACACTTTCTTCATGGGATAAATGCCAATTTATTTACAGTAAAGAGTAAACCAATCAACGGTACTAGCAAGCTGAATGCAGTAGTACAAAAATCATAAGCCAATCAGTTATTCAATTCACCATGAGAATGAGATGCAGCACTACGTCACTCACTACTCACTACCATTCACATCCAGCAGCCCAATACGTAAAGAACAGAGAGGAAAATGAAAAGAGTTTGAAGAATCTTGCCTTCTGGCTGGGACTGGGACATGGCCGTCGCAGCAACAGCAGCAGGCGCTGCCGCTTGCACTCCTGCGAGCTCGTCGCTTGCTGTTGCCCTTTGCAGTCGCTGCAACAGCAGCAGCCGGTGCCGTAGCTCGCCGCCGCCGCACTTCCAACTCCCCTCGCCGGTATTGCACCCCCGCCGCTCGCCGGTCACAGCAGCAACAGCATCCGGCGCCGCCGCTGCCAGCACTTATGCGAGCTCGGGAGGAACGGTGTCGAATGGCTAGGGTTATGTGTGTGACTGCTTCCCATCGGTAGATATCCCAGCGATTTGGGCCAGCGCGTGATTTGGGCCGACGAAACTGGAAGCCCACGCAGAATAGCGGCGCTAAATGAACTGCGATTTAGCGGAGATATCGCGCTATTAGCCGCTAATAGCGGAAAAATTAATCTAGCGTCAAAACTGTCGTAGCTTAGCGTTGGACCTTCTGAACCGCTAAATAGCGCTATAACGGCCGCTAAAGCCCGTTATTTTGAACTTTGCGTCACCGCCGCACACCTCCTCTGATCCTCTCCCAACGGCATCTCCCTCCACTACTGATGTGCCATAATAGGGGAAGACCCTGGTAAGGGCAGCCGCGTTGATGCGTGCCCAGCTTGCGATGGGCCCGGAACCAGGGCCCTCCGCAGCTCTCCCTCCATGTGCTGCTAACGAGATTTTCCATCCACAGCTCCACGCTATGTGGCGACAAGGCCGGCGGCGACCGTGCAACAGATGGATGCTTGAAGCATAGCTTATTGCTGCTAATTCTTTGTAATATAGGAAACGGTCCTTAAGGTGCACTGTTTGTTTCATGGTTAGCTGTTTTTTTCTATTTTTTTCCAAAGGTATGTATTGACAAATTGGATAAATATTAATTCTTGCTGTTGTAAGTTTATTAATTGTATTTTCTCTGCAGTGAAAAAATATGTCATTCTGTATAGTGTCAAGTGGTGGCTGGTGTTATAAATAAGTAGCCAGTGTGAAAAAGTATCAATATAAATATGGTCTAAAATAGTATTGATCACAAAACATGTGGTCGTTATTACTAAAACATGGTCGTTAGGGCCTCATGATAGATGGTGTAAAAATATTGACGATGAAAAATGTGGTCGTTATTATTAGAAATATGGTCGTTACAAGTCTAGTATGAACGACCACATATTCTTCGGTCGTTGAAAAGTTAACGACGGGAAATATTATGTGGTCGTTAATTGTATTATTAACGACCATGGATGACCACAATTTTGTGGTCCTTAATAACTTCTAGCGACCACATTTAGATTTTTAACGACCACATATCCCGTTATTAATACCACTTTTTTCTTGTAGTGCATGGGCTGAAGTCTTGAAAAACAAAAAGCACGAGCGCCCACGCAGCTTTGACAGCCACCACATCCACCCCGAGCCACGAGCCCAGACCCAAATT